AACTAAACTAACTTTATTTATACTGGATAGCTCTATCAGTTCTAAACTGTTCTTTCTAGAGATCCAGTAAGGATCATCTCTTATTCATCCAGTGTTACTACAGGAGGAAACCTAAACTAAACTAACTTTATTTATACTGGATAGCTCTATCAGTTCTAAACTGTTCTTCCCAGAGGTCCAGTAAGGATCATCTCTTATTGATCCAGTGTTATTACAGGAGGAAACCTAAACTAACTTTATTTATACTGGATAGTTCTATCAGTTCTAAACTGTTGCCCCTAAAAGTCCAGTAAGGATCGTCTCTTATTGGTCCAGTGTTACTACAGGAGGAAACCTAAACTAAACTTTATTTATACTGGATAGTTCTATTAGCTGTAAACGGTTTTCTATATATGTTCAGCAAGGCACATCCTTTATCAGTCCAGTGTTATTACATGAGGAAACGTAAATTAAACTCGCTTTGTTTACACTGGATAGCTCTGTCATCTCCAGTAAGGACTATTCTTTATTCATTGTGTTACTAAATGAGAAAACCTATGTTGTTTGGTACGAACTACGGCAGGTAATTTCAGATTGCATACCTTGCATATGGGACAGGCATTTAAAGTTTTTACTTCAGGGCCACCTCCAAACTTTTTGAACAAGAAATCCCAACAGACTTGCGGCAGTGGGGTGACCAGATCATTTAGATAAGAATCTTTTACAGGATCAATTGCTAAAAAAACAGAAATATATTAATGCCAAGCATGGGGTGTTTTTCTTCCCCTATCTGGTCTAAAAAAACTTGATAATTTGGAGTACAGTGCTTAGTGAAGGCTAAGCTGCTAATACTTTAGTTATGCTATTTTTTGCATTTTCCAGTAGAGATTCGTAGAGGGAGAAAAACAAAATTGTGGAGAGTCGTTGGAAGAAAATTTCAAACATTAGTTTCATTAATTCATTTCCTCATTTAGGGCCATTTTTTCCTCAAACCCCTGACTTTTTTCCACGCCCAATGGTAATATAACGTTAGATTTATAGCTTGACTGCCTATTTTTTAGTAACTTAATTTGCAAATATTGATACGAACAAATGTCAAATCTCACCTCCGTGCTTGCACATAAAACTGTTATTTGAAATTGGACCTATAAGGAAAGGACACCAACATATAGATGCGTCATAAAAACAATCAATTCCTCTCTGCTGTATATCAATTTAACTGTATTTTTACCTGGTTCTGCGCATGTGTAAAACATTGTCATCCACTTTTTGGATATAAAGTGTGTCGCTGGTTGACCCTTGAGAAATATAAAGAAGCATATCTGAGCTGTTTCTAAGTTTGAACGGGGAGAAATCCAACCAATTTATTTGGTAAAAAAACACAGAACTTTAATTGAGTGTAAAATACCTCGTGACTTCTGGATAGTCTGAAGAATTTTTGTCGATACTTTGTGATGATTTCGCCTCTTTTTCTGTTCATACAAAGAAATAAGAGAATTTAAACAGAATACAAAGTGAATGCTGGGTTTTGTGGATAATCCAAGTAAGCATATATAGAAATAGAGTTTCCAAAGTCCTTTCCAGACCCTTCTATGGCGCGCTTCAAGTCTAATATAGAAACAATTTAAGACCTAACCCTTGCAAAAAGTGCAACACTAGGTCCTCTGGCAGAAATCGAATCTGTGGCTTTTAATAGGCAATTCCAGCTAGAGACGAAATTTTGATCTAGGCAAGAAGAACGAAATCATTACCATAGCTGGAAAGAGCATCTTAAAATTAGTAAAATTGCAAAGTTCGGTTACGCATTGTTGTAAAATGAGGAAAATATAGCCTTGTGAAGTTCGCAAATTTTGTATATAATTTGCATTACGCGCGGGAGAAAAATGTTTGAGCCGAAAGTGCTTATTTTTACCGCGGGTAATACAAATATATACAAAATTTGCGAACTTCACAGGGCTATATTTTCTTCGTTTTACAACATTTAGCAACCAATCTTTGCAGTTTCACTCATTCGAAGACGCTCGTTCTAGCTGTATGGTTTTGGGTTTCGTTCTTCTTGCCTTGATCAAAGTTTAGTCTATAGCCGGAATCACCCATTCAATTAGAGAGGTTCAGAATTGACTTCCACTACCGCAACCTCTCACTGGCTTCCTATGCATCTGATTGGTTAATTGGATATATCAAACGCATCTGATTGGTTAATTGGATATATCAAACGCATCTGATTGGTTAATCGGATATATCAAACGCATCTGATTGGTTAATCGGATATATCAAACACATCTGATTGGTTAATCGGATATATCAAACACATCTGATTGGTTAATCGGATATATCAAACACATCTGATTGGTTAATCGGATATATCAAACACATCTGATTGGTTAATCGGATATATCAAACGCATCTGATTGGTTAATCGGATATATCAAACGCATCTGATTGGTTAATCGGATATATCAAACGCATCTGATTGGTTAATCGGACATATCAAACGCATCTGATTGGTTAATTAACAAATATAAAACATTTTCCGTGTTGATATACAGTTATATCAACACGAGTGGAATTGGGAAAACGAGAAATTGCATGGAAACACGACGCCCGAAGGGCGGAGTGTTTTCATACAATTTCGAGTTTTCCCAACTTCCACGAGTGTTGATATAACTATATATCAATACGGAAAAAATGTTTTATATTTTTTTTATAATATAGCGATGTCAAAAGCCCGAAGGATAAGAAAAATTTCCGTGTTTAGAAGCGGCGGAAATTTTCCCGTGTTGACATTGAGTTATATCAACACGGCTCTTAGCCAATCAACGTTCAGAATTTACAAATGCTATATTATAATCGGATATATCAAACGCATCTGATTGGTTAATCAGATATATCAAACGCAACTGATTGGTTAATGGTTCCTTAATGGCAGCGGTAGTGGATGTGAAATCTGAACCTCCCTATTAACACAGTTAAGGCAACAACAATAGACGGCTGGTTCAAACCAATCACTTGGTGATGTCAATGATTTTATAATATAACGAGGTATGTGAGAGAGGAAATGAATAACAGGCTATAACAGATAAGTTTACTCAACCTGTAAAACAATACATAGGCTTCGCAGCTTTGCACATAGCTTGCCGATACTACAATAACACAAAACATATTTAAATACGATTTTCAGACGTTTCCACAGAGAAATGTTTCGCGAAAACTCTGCACTCCGTTGATGTAGTGACGTCACACCCAACCTCGTCCCCATGCTCTTCCCCCTACGCGAAGTAGGAGCATAGAGGAGAGAGCCTGGGTACGAGGTTGCGTCATATCGGGCTTCTGAAACTAACCCTGACCCCAACCCTAATTTCTCCGATTAGTCTTCGGTGTGACGGCACTACATCAACTGAGTGTAGAATAGTTTTCCCAGGATGTTTCCTTGTTTGTTTAAGGTAAACTAATACGAGCAACAAAGTTGCAGCAACTTGCAATAAAATATGATTTCAACGCATGTTAATTGGAAATTTGTACTAATCTTGTCTCGGGTGTTGCAACTTGAGTGTGAACATTTCAATTAACATGCGTTGAAATAAGATTTTATTGCAAGTTGCTGCAATTTTGTTGCTCGTATTACTTTACCTTTAGGATGATTAGGAACAATGAGTACATTACCTTCAGAGACGTACGAGTCGTTGAATTCATACCACTTTCCTGTGACGAAATTCTTGCAGTACGCAACATAATGCCCACCTAGAAAATACGTAAACCCCTTCTTAAATAGAAACGATGGTCTTGATCATAAACCAATGATTCTAGTGCATCGATACTCAGTTACGTCCGGCCGGAACCGTATATTACTTGTTATGCTTCCGGTTCTGGCCGGAACCGACGAAAAATCATGGCCGGAACCGGAAGTCTTGTCTTGTCATCATTAGGAAAATATTAAAAAGTTCACTCACATATCGATCAGATAATTGAACAGATTGCATTACCGCCATCATTTCAATCACATAAACCTACTACCCTAGACATATATTCCAACTTTTTTTAAGGTTGACAGTGGACAAAGTTACATATAACTATAAAAAGTTTAATTTGATGAGCTCAGTTCCGGTCCGATTTATTTCCGGATCCGGCCGAACTTAAAATATTGTTTCCGGCGAATCTCTAAATTATGATTCCATACCTCCGACACTTCCATGATGCGTGATAATAGCCACTAGATCGTACTTCGTACATTTGGCGGAAAAATCTACAAAACGATTTGCTAGATTAAAACTAGACTAACTTTATCAGATATCTTACAGTATATATACTAGATAGTGCATCTAATTATTCTGCAATTCAAAAATTGAAGCCGTGATTGCAGAGTCAGGATATTCCCATGAAATGAGAAGATTCGTATGTTTTCTATTTCTTAAACAGGGAACTTAAACATTAAGTTAAACCTATTCCAAATACATTTTCAAACTATTCAAATGATGAAAGTTATTGTTGTTTTTTAAGCGTTTATTAGCGAGTGGGAAATACCAACATGGCTGCCATCTATTCAAATGGGGGTAACCGCCATCTATTCAAATGGGGGTATTCTTGGCTTCAATTTTACTAAAAGAGATGCGCTATCTAGTGCATATTAGATATCTATGGTTACAACTGGGCTTTGTAGCTCAGATGGTTAGAGCGCTGCGCCGGAACCCTTCAACTGTTAGTTCTATCGAGATATTAACAGGAATTGGAGCCGGGTCAGGGAGGTGATAGGATCTATCGAGATATTAACAGGAATTGAAGCCGGGTCAGGGAGGTGATAGGAACACGCAGTAACCACTGAGGCAACTGAAAACGTCATTTTGCTCAAACAAATATCATATACAAATATGTAACGTGCCTTTTGTCAAATATTTCCGCACGTCGAGTGCTTCCAGTGGAAAGGAGATAAAGCTGCTTATTTTCGAAGAATGATAGTACTCATGTCGGAACCGTTTCAGATGAATACACAACATCTAAAAAACATAAGCATTCATTGTTCAAAACAAACAAACAAACAAACAAACAAACAAACAAACAAACAAACAAACAAACAAACAAACAAACAAACAAACAAACAAACAAACAAACAAACAAACAAACAAACAAACAAACAAACAAACAAACAAACAAACAAACAAAAACAAACAAACAAACAAACAACAAACAAACAAACAAACAAACAAACAAACAAACAAACAAACAAACAAACAAACAAACAAACAAACAAACAAACAAACAAACAAACAAACAAACAAACAAACAAACAAACAAACAAACAAACAAACAAACAAACAAACAAACAAACAAACAAACAAACACAACCCAACCCACCAAACCAACATTACCTCAGGCAGTTTATATATTCTACATTCCTTCATTCCGTTTCTCAACCTAGACAAGCAAAATAAAAGATTTCATTATTAACCTTTTTTTGAAATATGGTAATCCCAGTGATAACCAACAAACAGAGGGGTAGCGTATTCAAAAGTTTACGTCTCGTAAATGTTCGAGCTTAACTGTTTGATTGAAACCTATCGATATATTACGAAAGCCTGAAAGGGGACGAGTATCACTCCTTTTGAATAAATAGAGTTTTTGACAGTTCTAATGTTAATTCTAATTACTGCGTAGATGAATCTGCGTGTTGAATTACTTTCGCATAAATCAACTTTTCTACGTAATCTCATCAACTTGGCACTGTACTTAAAGATAGTGTGCAACATGACATACTATACGTATAAGACTTACATCGAGCAATGTTCACAGCGGTACATATTGTCGCCTATAAAGAAACGGAATAATACAACCTAAGGGGTTTTTGTTTGAGTTTATCCTTACAAACGAAAAAATCTCACAACTTGTCAACAAGATGTGTTCGCAACAGGCTTGTAGCAAGCTTCTTAACAAGTTGTAACAATGCTGTTATTTTTATCATTGTTGCTACAAGGTTGTCACTCACAACTTGTCAACAAGATGCGTTCGCAGCAGGCTTGTAGCAAGCTTGTCAACAAGTTGTAACAACGTCGTCACTTTATCAAGTTGCTACAAGGTTGTCACTCACAACTTGTCAACAAGATGCGTTCGCAGCAGGCTTGTAGCAAGCTTGTCAACAAGTTGTAACAATGTCGTCATTTTATCAAGTTGCTACAAGGTTGTCACTCACAACTTGTTGACAAATTGTTGAATTCCAGGACGATAACAAGTCATTGGAACAACTTGTAACAAGTCTGCTGAGCTCAACAATCTTGTAGCAAGTTGCCAACAAGCCGTTGACAACTTGTCAACAAGCTGGGAACTGTTGTGCGAATACATCCTGTTGATAAGTTGTTGCAACAACATTGCTACAGGTCTACTGCAGGTTTGTTACAACTTGTGCGTTTTTATGTGTGTACCCAAATGAGCGACTGTGTACATGCAGTACCTTTAAGTTCGTCCGCTGAAAAGAACGCAGCCAAACAATCTTCAAACAAAACACGTGGACCAAATATCCAGCTAAATATAGAAGAACAAACAACAGACATTATGCATAAATGCACAATAGCATTTCCTTGAGGTGTGTGACACTAACACTAGAATGCTGAAGTAATTACAGTACCTGGAAACCCAGTCATAAATAGTCCCGAAGAATCCTCTGTGACTCGCTGTTGATGAATACGACATGATGGGATTACATTGTGTTGACGAGTGTATGGCTGACAGTTCTTCTTTCCCTGAAACAAAAATTGAACGAACCATTGTAACAAAAAAACTGAAGAAAACTACACTAGTTTTTATTTATATTGGCCGATAGCTCTACCATTAGTCTAAATGCAGGTGCACTAACCACCCTCACTTGCAACTGAGAGCTAAGTTGAATTATAAAGGACGCAGCTCAACCTAATCGAGTCGAAGGCTTACTGAGGGCCCCTCTGGCAGCCACCTTATGACGCTTTTTTTCCCCCCGCAAAGCACAGCTACAATGAAAGGGTCAGTTAGGGGTTAATCCCAACCCACCCTGTCAACATTCCCTGTGCGAGGAAACCGGAGTACCCGGAATAAACCCACGACTTTCGGTAGAGCGTTTTCACAAAGTACTCAGAGGTGGAAGGCTCTTGTTCTGACCATTGCGCCACCGAAGCAAAGACTTTCATATTGCATTATTTCCATACCTGGTATCGGTAAAGATAAATCTTGAAACGTTTCCATTGTGGACGATATCTAAAACAAAAATCCACCATACATTAACCCATACATATACATATACATATATACATATACATAATACATGTACACTTTATCTAACCACGCTAGCCTCAACAACCGTTAGGCGGCTGATTTCCATGAGGGGCGTGAAATATAGAATTAAGCGAGTCTATTTACAAAAAAAAACAAAGAAATATGAAAAAATATAAAATAAGACTAGATTGCAGGAAGGGAACAAGAAAATACAACGACTTTTAACGCACGATCATACACGAGCAAGTTTCAACTCATTCTTTGTTTTAATATCGATTTGAAAGAGCTTAAGGATTCAGCAATTTTTGCCTCATGGAGAAGATAAGGTCCATTGCACTCTAAAGGTCCATACGGACCGGACGCGATTCGTCATCGCGACGAGAATTTTCAAATTTCAATGACATTTAACTTTACTATTTTTCTATGTTTTTCAAATATTCGGAACCACTTAAGCAATTTTAGCTATTTGGCCTGCATATCTTGTAAAATTTTTATCCGTTGACGGTTTTATTTGTTTTTGAAAACTGAAAATTCGCGTCGCGTTGCCGAATCGCGTCCGGCCTTAACGCGCCCTACTTTATTATTTTACTCTGTCTAACCCCAGACGATTTTACTCGTCAAAAGGAGAGCGCTAGCGCTCAATGGGTTAGTCCACGTGTTTAGGTAACATTAGGTTTCTGAGATGCATTAGTTTATACCTTTTTACAGGTCAGACACTGCACGGAACTTCGTATCTTCCCGTTAAATAAATCTGATATTATACTTGAATATTCTACTGCTGGTGGTTTTCGACCTTCAAAAAATAAAATAAAAATGTCATGCACGAGGCTGAGATGCCAGTGTGCCAGTTTTGGCGCCAAAACTAGGTGCTAAACATAATTTTGACCGTGATCAAAGGGCACTGTATATGTATATCCGACTATAATCTTCCGAGTTATCAGAATATGATTTTTTTCTGTGTTGGTGTTATGTACTCAGGTGAATATGATGTTTGTGATGTTACTCTGAATGTATATCCATTTCGGAACTGAGTCTAGTTCCTTCGATATCAATGCAATCTAGTGATCATGATTTTTTCAACACAGAAAAAAGTTGTAAGCAGGTTGCATGCGACTGTCTGTGTAGTATAAATCGGCCTTTTTAGAGACACCGAATTTCCTGAGGAGGGTGAGGGGCAACCATTGAACTATAAGTAAACTGGAAGGCTAACTGCTATGATGAAGGCCTATGATTTGATGAAGCCAGAAATGAGTTTTTCTGAGTTATGAGCAGAAATACTTGATCCCAAACGTTGGGCTATATATCAAATTAAAGCTATTGAAAATTGCTATTCGGTGTGGAAATTTCAAGACTTCAGCGAAAAGAAAAATATTTAAAAAATACAAAAACAACTGCAAAATGGCAAATTATCGGCAATTATTTTTGTAGTTTTTCAATATTTCCCTTTTAGCTAAAGTCTTGAAATTTCTACACCAAATAGCGTTTTCAATAGCTTCAATTTCATATATAGCCCAACGTTCAGTGTTGCGTATTTCTGCTCATAACTCAGAAAAACTAAAATGCACTGGCTTCAATTCCCCCCTCCTCTGAGTTAGCCTTCCAGTTTATTTATAGTTCAATGGGGGCAACCTCGTACTTGGGGTCTTTCCTGTTACGCTGGTCACATGATCTACTAAACTCTAGCAGATTTTTAATTAGCAAACCAAGATGAGGTCAATAAATATTTGATATTTGGGTAATCTTTATAGTTTGATTTATAATTTGCATTTTGTATGATTGTCATACAGGAATCCAAGATAGTTAATTAGAAATCTGCTAGATTTTAGCAGATCACGTTACCAGCATCTACCAGGGTCTTTTCTCCCCAAGAGGGAAGACCCTGAATACGAGGTTGGGCGAGGGGTTATACCCCTGTATTGTGAAGAAATCTGTTGGTAGGCAGGGCCGCCGAGAGGTTGGCGGGGGCCCGGGGCAAATTTTTTTTGGGGGGGGTCTATCTAAAAAAATTTTTTTCGGAGAACAACCTACCCCCCCCCCCCCAAATTTTGGTACTTGGCCCAAAAAAACAGATATCTTGTCCTTTGCGCGGAAATATTTAACACACAAAAAAGACTGGGACCCAACAAAAAATTTTCAGGGGCCCCCAGCACCTTGGGGCCCGGGGCAATTTGCCTCCCCTGCCCCCCCCCCTCTCTCTGCGGCCCTGTTGGTAGGAGGTCCCTGCATTGTGAAAAACACTCAATAGACATCTCAAGTACCACCTACCTGAGCTCTGTTCGCCACTACACTCCCCCAGGTCATAATAATCAATTTCTGAATCTGAAATCGACCTCTCATAGCTTGAACTCCCCTCCCCACCACTTTCATCCATTTCGAAATTATCTGAAGCCATATTGACAAAGCCTATTGAAAGTGCCGGTTCTTTAGGCTCGACACCTGGGTCCCCTGTGGCCGTAGACGTCATCTCCTCGCGTAGCTCGGGACAACTGCGGCTGTTGCTTAGAAACGTGTTATCGGTGGCGTCACCATTTTCTTCGACTCGTTTATTCGAAGTCTGCTTCTGCGAGTTGGATTTTAAGGCCTCGGCTTTGCGGCAGGAAAAGCTTCGGAGATTGTAGCGATTTGCTCTCGATTTTCTCAAACGATCTGAAATTTAATTAGTTCCTCGTAGGTTGGTCTCCTTTGCAGCCTGTTCGCGGGAAACAATCTAACGCCCGCGAAAAGGCTGCGAGGGAGACAACATAAATATAATTGATTTGTTTTCGGGGGAAAAACACATTCTTGTCAGAGACATTACAAAATGAAGAGATCAGAAGATATGTTCCCTTAGGGAGCGGGAGGGGGGAAGGAGTTCCTAGGAAATATGGTCCGGGGGCAAATTTAAAGACCATGTAAAGTCCGTAATGTAAACAAACGCTTTGTTTACATTTGAACTCAGTACTACAGTTGTAAAATATGATTAGATATATATTATACTGAATTTTTAACACTCTTCTGGTTCGCTATTCTTGTAAATGAATATAGACTAGAGATTCAATTCAAGAAAGTTCAAAAGATACGAAATATTAATAACATTCCAACGGTCGGGTCCCGAAAATTGGAATGTAAGCCTGCGCAGAACGTACGCGCGAACGGACTTTACATGGTCTTTAAGGAGTCCAAATTTCCTGGGACTAGGACAAGCGGGCTCATATAAGAAAACAAATCTGTTAAAGATAAATTAGAAAACAAATCTGTTAAAGATAAATTACTTTGCGTCAACTCTCCATTCTGTGTGTCTGCTACGGTCTGTCCTCCCAGTAATCGTTTAGATCTCGTTGAAGTCCTGTTCTCAGGTTTTCTTGGCGGTGTCTCTTGCCTGTTTAGTGCTGGAGGAACTGGTTCTTTAAGTTCTTCATGCAAGAAATCCATCAGTACTCGCAAAAACTCCTGAGTGTCCTTGAAAAAGAGGGAATTAAGATGTACCTTAGTGGAGTTCGCTGGCAAAAATGGTATTAAAACTGTTTACGAATTGGACGTCAATGGCCGCAATCTTGCCTTCACTTTTCTCAGGGACGCCGGAATGATAAAAAGGCAAAGGGGGGCGGGGCAGACGCACACCAAGGGCACCTCTATAGATCAAAAGTTCAAAATCTACCTGAAATTTATTTTTTTTACATGGAAATTTCTTGGGCGACCTCCTCCCCCCCCAAAAAAAAAATTCGGTCGGTGTACCATTTTAGGGGTCAAAAATTTTTCCGGACATACCAAAATTTTCCGTGACGTAAAAAAAATTTTCCGCATATCAGTAATTTTTCCCATTTATCCAAAATATTTTTCTAAAATCTAAATTAACCTCATTCTTTTCCAAATTCACAATTATTTTTGTAAATCAACTTTCTCTGGGCCTATAAATTACCTGAATCTCATGATTTTCCCCGAAAAAGCATCACTGGAAATTTGATTTATCACGTACTATTTTACAACTAAAAGGGCACTTCTGCCCCCCCTGCCCCCCTAGCAAAAGGCAAGAGGGGCAGCCGCCCCCCCCCCAGTTCCGGCGTCCCTGACTTTTCTCATAGGTTCTTGACAAGTTTCCCTTTGTAAGTGTCTCTCGCTGGATCATGTAAATTTAGTATACGTATTGTAGACTGGTACTTACTAGTGTACAATGTACAGTAATTTGAAGTTTGATACTGCTTTAACTACATACCTGTTGTCTATAACCACGGAATTGTGGGTTCAATTTTTGAAAACATGTCAGGAACTCTGATGGTGTCACATACTTTGGCCTACAAATTCAATGAATCAAATTTTAACTATTCGTGTGCTATAATAAAGCCCCATACAGATGAGCAAGTTTCCCTTGACAAGTTTTATTGTTCGTATGTGCAGGGAATGATATTAAACATTTATCTCACGTCAAGGTAGTCATCACCAGGAAATGAATGAATAATTATCATTCATTTCCTGATGATGACTATATAGTTTAGTCGAAACGTTGAAATAAATTTTCAAAATGCTTTCAATCTTCGGAGTATCTATTGTTTTGTATTTTATCAAAATACTCCGTGGTTCCCGTAATAGAAGTATTTCTTGGACACTTGTCAAGCACTAGTAGTGATGATGGTGATGATGAAATCTAAACCTCGCAAATAATTCCACAGTAGTGTAGTATTTATTCTTGCATGTTTTATATAGTGTAAAGGCCTGTAAAATCAGTATTACGTTATCCAGTTTGCAGTCCGTAATATGTCGTGTTTTAGTGCTAGCTGGATGGACTTAGTACGGGATTCTAGTTCCGTTGTCCAATCATTCAATCATAGCTGTATATGTGTATTTTTTATATAATATGACTGTAAAGCCATACACACGAATAAATTTTCCTTGTGCAAAAGCTGGTATGACTAGCTTTGCAACAAGGCTCCTTCATCTGCTGCAGGATAATGCTTAGTGAAACTACAGTGCATCTTTTAAAATAATCTTCCAAGATTTTCCACACCTTTTCTTCGACCACATTTCGGTAACAAGAGTGCGATACTGTTCAGAAATGTTTGCTTGTGGCTGGTATTTCACATAACCAGGACAATCCAGAAAGAACTGCATCAAGGATGGACTAGAAATAAAATGTAATATTCGTTTCACCACTGGGACTGCAGCAGTCAATTCCTCAAATACTCAGGTTTTTATCATTACAATTTTGACTCATGTGAGAAGATTCCGTCATGTAGTAACAGTACAATCTCGGCCCTCAACTAACTTCTGGAGAGAACATTTTAGAAATGATAGACCATTCCAGTATACATAAAGTTAATAAGCTAATTTTGTCTGGTTTATTTCAGTCCAAGGATATATGACTAACCCAGCCTTGTCCCAGGCGCTTTGATGTGCTAAGCGGTTGCGTGACGCACGCGCGGGAATTGAGTTGCGTAGCTTACCGCGTGTCCTCCCGCGCGCGCGTCACGCAACATCAAAGCACCGGGGACGAGGCTGTGACTAACCTATTAGCAGTGACTCACCTATTTGACAATGCCTGTAGAGCGGAATTCATATAACAAGTATTGCCAATGTTTGTCAAGCCAGTCAAACCTTAAAATTAAAAATAATTGTCTTTCCATTTCCTGCTATAGGCCCTTATACTGTAGCTTTTAACCAGGGTGTCAAAACTGACCATCTAAATTTAAAATTAGGGAGTTTAAGATCTTGACGACGAACTACCAACTACGTTTGAAATAGTTTTTGTTATATGTATGCAATTAATGCAAATACTAAATGCTTGTCATAACAAATTTATCCAAAATATGTTTTATGTGCATGGCTTTGTGTTCGTTAAGTTTCATCTTTTAATTTTCATCATGTCTTTATTAAAATACTCTCCAACCTGCAACGTGGCGTAGTCAGTTTCGGTGCTATGTTCTTGATTCTGTTTTACAACACAAGAATGTGATTTTTACGCTGTATAGCCAAGGTAAATTTTGTCTGCCTCTGTTAAAGCAATGTGAAAACAAGCTTTCAACAGTGCTTCGTACCCGTTGTTCGTTGTCGGTATCTCTAATGCTGTGCATACGATAGTTGGAATGGTGCCTGGCTAAATAAATGCCTGATATTAACAACTTGCAGGCTGCAGTATTCCAACACAAGATCTCACCTCTGGGTTTCATCCCCTTTTCAAAACCATCAAAATAATCCTTGTCTATCATCGCTGCTTCTTCTTCTTCCTTTTAAGAGAACAGTAACAAAAACATGTGTATTGAGCTCAAGGTAATTCCGCAGTTTTGCATTGCGCACTTAGTACTGCGCACATCTTATAACTTATAATTCCATCCATTATACGTACAATTTAAAAAAATATCATTTTATGACAATTTTATGTTACTTCAAAACATCTTTGGTTACATTCGTGCAAAGAATTACGTTAAAATCAATGTTTTCAAAAAAGGCATACAAAAGTGTAGCTAGGGTTCCCTGTGTCTGTAGTATATTTATTTACTTGTATTTCACGTTTTAATGCCACAATTCCCTAAAAAGATCGGTGACCCCCGTTTTTTAACTGATAATTTATTTCTTTAATGCATTTTACATTTCATATCCGAAATTAAAAGAAAAATCATTTCTGGATCTTGAAAAAAAATGCTTTATCAATGCGTGTTCTCAAAGAAAGATATGTAAAGATATGTGTGACTTTACTTTAAGTATATCATAAACTCCATGCCTGGGAAGTTTCAGCACATTCTCATTTCGGGAACAATTACTGCGGAATTACCTTAAAACTGGGGGTGCAGTAGCCTTGCTCTAAGCCTGCAACTCTGTATACTAGGGCGTAAAAAAATACCTGTGGTTCTGGTTCCCGACCGACCCTATTTTTTTCTGCCAACCCTATTGTTTTTTCAATGCGATTGACCGTGCGACCCTATTTTCTCTGGGTGGTTGCGGGCTGCTCATACAGCGTGCCAAAATGGTGTCTGTTGTCACACTAATTATTGAACCAAATTGCCTAAATTTGTCAAAAGGAAATACGCATCTCTAGTATTGATGTCGGGACTCTACTGCAAATCGCTCAGCAAAAAAATGCCAAAACCATGAAAAAAATATTTAAAAAAAAAATTATTTCCGACCTACCGACCCTAATTCTTTCACGATATCAAACTGGAACCACAGGTATTTTTTTATGCCTAGTGTACAGTCAAAATGTCAATATGTAAAATTATGTACAGTACATGGGAACAGGAATGATTATGAGTAAAGCACTGCAATGTAATATATAGTCAGATATATGAGTTAGCCACTGTGGGTTATAAGAAATAATTGAAAATATCTAAATTTCTAGCTGGACCAGAAAAACACAGCAATGAGACACAGTCTGTGAAACTAAAGCTGCCCAAACTTGACATGTTTGTTGCTAATGTTTTCATTTTCTACCAACATGCAGTCTCACCATATCCATGGTATCATCATCACTATCATGTTCCTCTTCCATCTCCTGATACTCCTCAATATCCTGAGAAAACGCCAGTTGTACCTCATCCAATTTACGACCACAGCCAAAACACCATACTTGTTTGTCATTTTTACACACATATATTGCATGGTCTGTTTTCTATAGGCATAAAATACAAGAAGTAAATAATAGGTGACAATATCTAGTGGAGGTGGGGGTTGAGGAAGGGCTAGAGGAAGCACCTCCTATATTATATTAAACTCTTAGAAAAATGGGTAAAAATAACTGCTCAGCGCTTATGGCAAGGAGGTAACATTAGGTTTTCCACCAGATTGCCAAGATTAAACACCTTTGCAAATAGTTTAACCCTTTAAGTGGCAATGCGCCCAGCTGCGCCCTATTTTATTATTTGACTCTGTCTACCGCCAGATGATTTTACTCGTCAGGGGGAGAGTGCTGCACTGCTGCCACTGAAGGGGTTAAATTTAAAATTGATACAACTCAACTTCACACTTGGTCTATAAACACATCCCAGAACATTAGGCATATTTGAACGGCCTGCATTAAATTTTGAAGCTATATGTAGTGAAAAAAACCTGGTGGTGACTCTCTATGTGGTTCTTTGAATGTTTTCCACATCCCACAAATGAACAACATCTCTGAAATGAAATAATTAAAACAATCACCAATGCAAACCTACAGTATAGTCATTTTTACATGCACACCCTAGCTAGTGTCAATAGTGCCAAAGACAGTTATCATGCTTTCATTGACACATACATTTCAACCCACTTGTTCTATGATTGCTTTGTTCCTTCCCCCCCCCCTCCCAGCCCTATCACAGATTATTAGATCGCTAATTCCAGAATCTGAGGTAACCGTTACCCCCTTCCCTCTTCGAGGAACAAGTCCACAAAGATGGATAAAATCTATTTGTCAACAGTTCATTATTTTACAACCCATTAAGTTGCATTACACGCCAATGCGCCCTACTTTAAGATTTTACTCTGTCTAACACCAGATGGTTTTATTCGTCAATTGTGCTAGCGCCCAATGGATTAATGTGAGACTATCTGCCCATGTGTCCAGTTAACCCATTGAGTTGCATTGCACCCTGATGCGCCCTACTTTATGATTTTACTCGTCAAAGGGAGAGCGCCTGTGCTCAATGGGATAAACATTGATTCTTTTCCCTCAAGAAGTTCATGATTGTGGGACAACATTTTTTTGACAAACCTTTGCTATTTACTATCCTTACCTGCATACACATCCAGACCTCGGCTACTTTGTCTCTGCATTCATCGCACTAGAATCAATATGAGATGGAATGGGTCATTCCAGAAAACATCCACAACTCCCCCATGGAGGAAATTGGATGTTAACCCGGAGAATTTCGTCCTAAAATAATGCCATTTCATGCCTTTTCCTACGAGCAAATTATTTCAGCCATGGTTTAGGTTTCTGGTGATGTTTAAATTTCAGTCCCCAAATTCCTACCGAGTCGGCTGACTGGGCCGACTCATAGCTAGTTTCGGGCATGCAGATGATGGTCAAATTCTGAAATGTTAACAACCGAACATCATTTTAATTTCTCACTTTGATATATAATTGCTGGTTGACCACCTACTGCAGGTAGTTCTTAAGGACCTCACTGGGGGGAGGGACACAATTGCTGACTGTAAGAGCGCTGGGGGACATGTCCCCCCCTCTATATGTTAAAAGAGGCCCTGAGCCATACAGTATATGTAACTGATAGTCCGAACACTCCGTAGTCACACAGTTGTGACGTTCTACAAGCCGTGTTGCTTTTTGGTACCGTCAAGGTTGTGCGGTGTTCTCTGGACAACCTTAACTGAATTATTAGCTGTATGCGTTAACAAATGGCATGCAGGTCTCACTCAGGCATGTTACCTGGTTAGCTGGCCTCGCATGAACCCAGGGTGCATTCCATGCAAACTCTATGCCGAAGATATGCCAATATTAACTATAGATAGTATTGTAATGTGTTGCACTCACGCCGAAGATTTTTGGCGTACATTGCACTTAGAATGCACTCTGGGCATGAACAGGAAAATAGACACCCCTCCCCCACCTCCCCTAGACAGACGATAGTAATACATCACAATGACTTGTCTGTCTCTAGCATCGTTCCTTTTGGTGAAAACAATTAAAACTCTTTCATTCGAAACAAAACCAACCTGTTGTCTATGACTCATGTCTTTCTCGCTAATTTTTCTTGTAGATGCAAGATGTGGACAGTTCATTGTTTTCAAACTTCTGTGAACACAAAAATTACAAACGCTGAAACGTTGTTAAAACACAATAACATGATTTATAAGCCACAAGCCCATAAATTAATATTCCGTTGTTAAAAAAAATATTATATTATGCGGTTACCTGGAAATCCTGCGAGGTTGCTGCTAGTTATAAAACAGCTAGAAACCTCGCTTTCCTCCAAACAAAAGCCTTTTCTCGTTTTAATTTTGCAAAAGCGTTCTACTTGTATTTTAATTTACAAAAGCTGGTATTCGCGGCCATTTTGGTTTCATTTTTTCGTCGTCGTGTTGTCTACATGTTCGTATCTTCTTCGGTGAGATATCGGACTACGAAATAGGAACGAGGTGATTCCGAACCAATCGAAATCCGTACGTTAATCTTAATCCTTATAAACTCTACCTAATCCAAAATTACAGTAGTTGGTACTGTTTATAACACTGAGCTTTCCAACTGTTCGTACAATTGCACGTATGCCTTGCTTTTCACATGTTTTCCGTGGATCTGAGGCGTTTGAGCCTTGAGGGTTGTGGTCTACACACAAAAAAACGCACAAGTTGTTACAGGTCTGCAAACAAGTTGTTACAAATCTGTTCACAAGCTGTCAACAAGTTGTGTTCGCACTGCTTGTTCCCAGTTGTTGTAACAAGTTTGGAACAAGCTGTTAACAACTTGTAACAAGCTTGATGGCATTATCAGACTTGTTACAAGGTTGTTCTAACAAGTCTAATACAATCATGATATAACAAGAATGTTACAAGGTTGACGATACAAGGTTGAAACAATATTGCTATACCACGATTGTATCGGACTTGTTGGAACAACCTTGCAACAAGTCTGATAATATCAACAAGGTTGTTAGAAGTTGTTCACAGTTTGTTCTAAACTTGTTGACAACTTGGGACAAGCAGTGCGAAGACAACTTGTTGGCAGACTTGCTATACAAGATAACAAGATGCATGCGAGACCTTTGCATGTGTTGCCTGCGTGGCAGGCTCTTTGTGGTCTGTCCATTGAAAATACATGGATAGAAGCAAGAATTTCGCTTGAAACCTCGAAGTGTAGTTTCATGTAGAAGGTCATTCAGAAAATACGTGACGCTTCTGGGGGTGATTGATGAAGTGTCACACGTCGTCAAAAGGAGGGGGTAGGGGGTAAAACAACCTCAGTCACGTGACGATTTTAATATGGAAATAAAGTAATTCCCAGGAAACTAGATTCAACTGATCATGCTTACAAAGGGGGAGGGGGAATTTCTTTGGCGTTACGTATTTTTGCATGGGATATATTACCAAACGTCAAAGCACGTCGCGGGGGATGGGGGTGTAAAAAAGGGCCAAAGCGTCACGTATTTTCTCAATGACCCCGAGTTACACAATAACCACGGCAGCTACACTAAATATAGACGTGTAATATATCTGTCTGTATGTCTGTGAGTGGTGCTTCTTCAAGACACAGGTAATTTCTGTCATGCAAATAACATGGCAATCTTATGAGGAACTACTGCAAATTTGCAGCAGCAAATTTCTTAATTAAACAGTATTAATTACGCCGACTAAATGGACCAATAAAAAACAGGCACGCGTTATTTTTGGCATTCCCTAGATCGACGGATGTAATATTTACATGCTTATTGAATCTTTTTCGGATATTGTAAACACTTTGGGATCGACTTTCTCAAATGCTACGAACCATTCAGTTTTTACACCCAAAAAGCTGCAAACAAGACACAATTGTAATACTACAAAACCTCAATTTAAAGGCCTTTAAACACGCGTACCATACTAGTTAATACTGAGCTGTTTAACTAATCGTGTGTAAATATTTACAAAATTAAATATTAAATTCCGCATTCAGCTCGCCGCTCAACCTCGTCCCCAGGGCCTTTTAAAGAAAGATGCGAAGGGCAGCAAAGGCCCTGGTAAAGGCTGGTGAAATAATCCACAAATTGTGGATTATTTTGTCACGTGATATATCGGAGCAAATACTATACAGGGGGGTGCGATCGCGGATCGCTTTAGCTACAATATATTCGTCAATATAATGCATAAACACCGAAATCGACAAATAAAGAACAAAAATCTATTTTAAAATGAAAAAATCTGTTAAAGTTCTTCCAAAAATATTGAATAAATTTGAAATTGTCTTCAAATTAGCTCTGAGAACCTTGGTTGAACTGTAAAGGAGATCTATTAAATAGACAAAGCAACAGTGCAAAACGAATGGATCGATAGAAGTATTTACTATGAATTTAATACTGTCGCAAGGAAATTGCTGCCTCGATTGTGAAACAGATATGTAAAATCACTTTAATTTAATAATATGGACTCTCAATACACCATATCCATGATCATCAAAACATTTAATAGTTATTGTTGCTACAATAGATCTTTCTTGCAAATGTCAATATCATACAGTATATTTAACAGTTAAAGGGAGTGCAAGACCCAAAGAATGTCTGAAAAACAAAGAATGTCAACATCGTATGCACTTGGAATTTAAATGCTTATGTTAGCCATATGCCCTGAGTATAACCTGGTTGACCTCCATGGTTAATTAACATTTCCTGAATTTAATTGAGTTGAAATATTTTATTTGATTTTCATTCTTATCCCAAGAACATTGTGAACACACATATAATGCTTTGGGTTTAGATTTCAAAGGCCAAGCTTCAAAACAAATGTTGTGATCTTAATGATCAGGCATTCCCAAACAATTACATGCATGAGGGTCAAATCAGACAGAAAGCCTCCATATGCTTTATCAAGGCTGAATAATATAATGAGATGGAATTAATTTCCTCATTATACTGTTAACAAGCTCTTGTTTTTGTTTGTAATCAATTACACAAATTACTTCCCAGAACATTATTTAAGGAGATTATTTGACAAGTCAGCAGGTACATTTCCTGAGCCACAATTGGGGCAATTCAGTGTCACTCATCACAACAGGCGCTCAAAATCACTCACAACATACAACAGGCAGTTCAGCATCACTCACCACAACTGACTGTTCAATAATGTGTACCTCAGTAGGCAAATCAATAATCAATATTTTGCTCAGATCAACAACAAATATCAAAATTGAACTCATTCTCAAAACATGTTACAATAACAAGGGGTCTCTTCTGGACAAATACAAGACACCTGATGTCAAATGTATCAAGTGACAAGATTATTCATCTCTTTTAATATAAATACATTTTGCCGCCTTGTAATAAAGTACTATTTGTTGTTGGTGACCATCAGTTGAGCAATTTAAAACATTCGCAGTGTATGCTTTATCAGACCTAAAGGTACTTCGCTTCACCTCGTATCTTTATACCTGATAAAACTATAGTACATAAAATAATAACTATGATATTTAGCCTGAATATTATTATAAATGTATGAAGGATATTATACATATATTCTTGATGCTCAACATTATCCGATAATCATTTAACATGAAATCCGATAATCATTTAACTACTGAGAACTGTGTGAATTCCTGAATTACTTATTGTTACAGACTGTACTGACCTCTTGCAATTATGGTTATTAACCAAAATCTGACAATGTCTCTAGTTAACCCATTGAGCTGCAATGTGCCCCAGTGTGCCCTACTTACTGAAATTGACTGATTTGTGGTTTATGTTTTTTTTGTGGCAATTCTTTGGGCATCACAAGTGCATTTGTATATCTTAATACACTGTGAGAATACAAGTATTAGTATTTAAATGACACAATATGATGTAAGTTACCTTTCAGGTATATAATTTGTATACAGCATCAGTGGTGCAACTTAACTTTTTTGACCACTTGCCCTCAGGGCAAGTTGGACATGAAAATTGGTTGCCCTGAATAAAATCCACTTGCCATCAGGCAATGGGGTACCTACGCGGGCCAGTATAAATTAGAGAGACAACATATCCACTCATTGGACTAGTGGCATTGGCTATATGTTACTGCCTCAGATCTAAACTACCTCAGATCTAGCTTTGGCTCACATATTAAAGAAAATTTGAATCAAGTACACTTGTTTAATGTAACACTAATCACCATTATTTATTTTTTTATTAGTTTTACAATAAGAAATTGAAGGCACAGACAACAGGACTAATAAAGTCCCAAATTAAGTCCTGCCATAAATGAAGTCCTGCCATATTTCGTTCGGTTATCATATTATGAATAAACATTTAATAACCAAAAAGAGAATCAAATGCATAATAACCAAACAATTTAGATGAATTTGATGCAGATGATTTGCCAGCTTGAACCAATATCGTCGAACAGCCTTTATTCTATCCGACAATAATAATAATATGAACTGAAAGCTGGCCAGCTTTTTGTGGCAAAGCAACTTGCCCAAGAGGAAACTTTTACTTGCCCATCATGATATTTACTTGCCCCGGGCAAGTGTTAAGTTACACCTCTGAGCATAGTTGCCATTTGGCAGCTGTTGGTCTGGTTGAAGTGCTCAGATAATTTGGGGAGACCCATGGCATGCTCTCTCAACAGTGAAGGTTCAAAAACACACATGCCGGAATGCTTATAGAATACCTCGCCATTTTTCCGCATTCATTGACACATAAATAAGGACAAGAATCACTTCAAAATAGTTTAAGGTAAAGTTTAGAGATTAAATCATATGAGTATGTTAGTTTGGTTTACAAGGAATTAATAGCGGTAAGGTGTGAAAGTTGTGGGTATTCTATAGTTGTATCAAAAAAGTGAAAAACCAAGCTAACCACAATATAAAGCTTGCCACAATGTCAAAGAGCATAGTTGCTGACTAAGAAACATCTATTAGACCATGTACAGTACTTGAGTCTTGTGATAATATCAGTGATATTGCTTTTGTATTATACGATATACTGTAAACTTGCTGTTAACATATTATATTATTAATATTCATGGTTGTCAAATATCATAAAATCAACACACAAAATTCACACACAAAGGTTTAAAATAGTGTATATTGGTATAAACGTTTAATAAAAATGCATACATACGTAACCCATGGTCGGCATGGAATTTTGTCACTTGGCACAGTACTTTAATATTTTTTAATGTTTGTCCCACATTAAAATATATTGAGTCAATGACAGTGCAACTGTTCATATTAAAACGTTCTAATCACATTTTACATGCACATTTGTATTCAGTAGTAATCTTTTCATAAAGGTACATCAAAGTCCCAAATCAAATTCTTCACTGACAGTAGTGACAGTATGTTATTGACTCCCAACGACAAATATTATAAAACACGCTTCCAAGCTGAAAAGAAATATTTACTGTTGTCAGTCAGTGTTTAGACTCTTCTCTTTGAATCTTGATCTTCCATTCTTCCACAAGTATTGCTGTTGATTATATTCCATATTTTTTTGAAGAACATCGCAGACTATATATTTACAGTATTTCCACTGTCAGTTGAAAAGTTTATCATCATAGTTTCAGTCTCTGGTTTCAGTCGCAAAAGGTTAATTAATTCTATCGCCCCTTTGCACGGCCATGTTTGATAAAATCAAAGCGGCCCGCACCCCCGGTTTGAAAAGTTAAATTTCTGAAATATTCA